GAAAGGGGATCAACCAGGCTCATAGCATGAGGAGGTGGTGGCAGATGACGTACGACCTCTGTTCCAGGCGCCGGTGATTGTTCCATTTGTCCAGAGGACCCACATCAGTATTTGTATGGCCCTCTCCGTCGCAGTGGTTTGATGATTTGGAAGTTCCGATGGAAGAGCGCTTGATCTTGGCAAGCCCTCCCTTGGATGCGCTGCTCGAAGTTTCCATATCAAGGGTAGGACTCCCTAGCGGAGCCTGAGAAGGGCCTTGAGACTGACCCCAAAATCAACATGCCATCTCCTGGCAAAGACAACATGCGTACCATCAGACAGCTAGGCGCAGAACCGGGCGGCTTTCCGAAATCTAAGAGACGACGATGTTTCTTCGACTGCATGCGCGCCATTGAAAAGGTGTTTCGTGTACGGTTTGTGAGTTCTGTTCGACGTCGAAGATGCGAGACGTGGAAAAGGTGAGGCTGTAGGTATTATGTAAGCACGATGTGCCCAATTGCCAAACCTGTTTTGTTAGCGGTCGATATCTTTCTGCTCGACATCGCCCACTCCGATACGCAGGCGTACCAGTCATCAGCCGTGATCGCCATACTCATATCGGTGGTTTGTACTACCGAGGAATTCCCACCGGTACTTGCCTATCTCCGTCGCCAAGCAAAGTCAGTCAGCGAAAGTCTACTACTGTACTACACTTGAACAAGCGTCATCGGAATGCTCCTCCTCCCAACCCCCCCTCCAGTAAACTGTTCTACCGTGTACGCGCATGGGATGCGATGCAGGAGGGGTGCGCAGATCGACAATTTCTTTGGCGTTCATTGCCGCTCATCGCCCAATTGTTCTCGGTTGGATTTTCGATAAGGGAGATTCAGCCGTAAGTAAGCAAGGGTAGGGTAGGCCTACCTATATTGTCCCTACTGCGTTCCGGCCGGTGCTCTGCGCTCAGCTTGTTTGGCTGCTCGGCCTCGGACAATCTTAATGACACCGTAAGTTACAGTCGTCCGCAACACCGCATGCTATCTTGCTCTGAAACAGTTCCAGAGACCGGAGCCAAGTCGGTATTGGTTCGCTCAGGGGCCGCCATCGTGATTCACGAACGTTGTGAACGCGTGCATATCACTGACTTTCGATCACAAATGTACAACTTTCTGGGTGATATGAACATGAAACTACCGAGCCTTTTCTCCTTACTACAAGGGCGAGTAGTCGCCCTTGCGGAGTAACTGATCGGTGAGTTCCTAAGTCGATGACCAAGGTCGCTGGTTAATATCTGGAAGCATCCGCTAGTTGCTGGCTATCATATTCTAGAAACGGTGAGCTCTCGCTACTACCGCCCCCTTGCATTTGGTAACATCTAGCATGCGCGTCATCCACTGACGGCGTGGACTGGACCAGTGGCCGAGCCGGATGTCCAGGCGGTGCAGTACTGTAGTCCTAGCGCCCGACGGGACTTTCTGCGGTTTGCGGGGTCCAAAGTCTGGCAGGTTCGCTGACCATACCTGACCTCCCCTCGTAGCAAACAAGCAAAGTTTGATTTTCCACTTTCCGAAAGCCTCGTCCAGAATACACGAGTGATACACTGTAAGAATCTATGCTACATCGTACTGAATGGCGCAGGACGTTATGACTACACTAAGTTGTAACGATCAGGTTTCCGCGGTGACAAAGTCAACTACAAGATATCGCACCGTCCACGTGAATAACGAACAGCGGTAGTGTGGCGACGAAACAACCGAAGGACCATGGTGAGTACCAGGCGGGGAATGGTAGCGGAAGAATTGGCAAGTATCCAGTGAGCGCTGTAAATTTTCGAGGCGCTCGTCGACTTCTATATAGGGAAACAACGAACCTTTGCTCATCGATTTTTCATCCATGAACCCATCTGATGCAGTTCTGTAAGATGCCGGCCAGCATCTAGGACGACAGAAAGTCTTTGTAGTTGACTAGTTTGTTCCCGCTGCCACCCTCAGGTTGTGTCGCACCAACGTACCACGCATCCGTACCTAGAGCGCACGACTTCGAAGTCAGCCGAGATCGCCGTAGATGTCTGCAAGGGGCCGATCTCAGCGTTGAGACCGAGATTAAAACCATCCTCGCACTTGGGCATATAGCTGCGTCGTCCAAAGTGCCGTACTCACCCGAGCGCACAACTTGCACCGAAATTACAAGTTATCGAGAGTATTAGAACGGCTGTTGCATCATTTCCCCGATGTACGCGCACTCACGAAAACTTGTAAGTAGGTTTTATCTACCATGATCTTAAGGAAGGGGACGATATCAGGATCATCAAGGCATCCTCCAACCATCCTTGCCATGTCCAAAACCCGAGGCCCACTAGCATCTTCCATCCGAATGAAAGCGATACTCAAGAGCCCTGGATATCACTTTCACTCAGAAGCCCGGTGCCCACCCCCACACGCTAGGTGACTGAAATCACACTCATGCACCAATGATTATGTAGCAGATGACTATCCGGCTATGCCTAACATACAATTTATACATGACGGTCAACTCGTGCAGTCTGCATCTCATCTGAACCCTTTCGTTCGACTATGAAGGCAGCCCGAGTGTTGTTCGCTAGTGGAATAAGGTCACAGAAACGAAACCACGACAAGCAGGGGGGGGACTCACTAATTGGATGACGCCTGCTCGTTCCGACGGGGGTAACATGCGTATTTGTTCGGGTGTCATGGATACGACGCGCATGATCATGACCTGAGAAACGTGATCATGAGAGACATAACGAACGCAGAACAAGCATAACCATACCTTTTGCTCCTCTGGCAGAGACGCAAGTGCATCCGGTAAAATCGAGGGCTGTTGCGGTGGCGGCACGCCATACCCTGTTGCGGGATCGGGGCCACCGCCGTACACGGCCTGACCTGTGAACGCGATAGGCTGAGGTTGGGGCTGTAGTTGAGGCGGATGTCCGTGCCCGTTGTAGTGGGTTGAAGTATGTGTTTGTGGAGTTGGTGTACGATTGTAATGTTGGGAGAGGTGAGGGGGCACGGCGGAGACTGGTTGAATGGCAGGTTGTGGAGGGGAGACGTTCGTGGAATAGGCGGTGACCGTTTTCTATTTTATGAATATACGCAGGTCAGTATGAGTAGGTCTAGTGAAAATGGGAGCACATGCGACTGACTTGGAGTACTTGTACGTCGACTGCATTCATCTTGACCATGAGAGTGATCAGTGCATACGCAATCTGGGGTGTAGATGCGAGAATGCTACGAGCCTGGTCCGGCGTCGTGTTCTGTCGCATCCAAAATATAAGTGTCTCTGCCGTCATGTCCAATAAATGGGATGAATTCGTTTGACCTTGAGAGTGAGCATGAGCTCGATCAGCTGTTCCTCCTGGGTAGACATGGAAGAAGGTAGTAGTGATGACTAAGCACTACGGCTTTGTTCCCTGACCGGCATGCGATACAGAAATGTACAGCATCTACTAGCACGACGATCCTCAACCTGTCATGGAGTCGTCCGTGCCATTATCTTCACAATCCGCGACTACTACGGGAAAGTTATCGACAAGGATGTTCACTCCATTCACTGCCTCTGAAATAGACAGATACAACAGAGGAGAATTTATGTATGTGTTCCATTCTGTGTACCGTCATCTATACGTGGAAGTTCATACGTATGGCTAAGACCTCCGGACAAGGAATTCCCATGGATTGACGCTGCACAAAGATCGTTTGAGCAGTACGCCCTTGTTCCCCATCGACGCCTATATACTGTTTCACTGACATCGCGGAACAGTCCATCAGATCTTAGTTCCACAGGTTGGAAGGTGTGCACGCACCCAGAAGGTGCTCCCTACTTCTGTGACATTCAACGTGTAGGCAACCGATTCATATCATCCACCTTGTCTCACCTCACTTTCTGACCTTGTTAACATCACACCAGCGAATATACACCGACACCCACGTGCGCAATCCCAAAAAATTGGGAACCGTCGAAAAATGCATTTCCCGCCTCTCTGAGCTCGCTGCATTTCACTCTATCACTTTCCCCTCCCCACCTTCATCTCCGTCGCTCGAACTCGTCCTTGAACTTGCAAATGGAAAGAGTCGAAAAGAATGTCGATATTATTTTGTCGATACCGAGAAGAGACTCCTCTTTTGGGTTCATGGTTGGGTGCCAGAAAAGATGTATGCGAACTTGAGGGGTGTCAAGAAACAAAGCCATATCAGTGAGTATGATACCGTACGGATTCGAAGCCAGCTCACGTGTGTGATGCTGTGTGATATGCGGCAATTGTAAATACAGAAATGGCGCTCGAGATGCAGTATTGGTGCGTGTAGGCGTTTCGGTGTGTCGTGCGCTGGAAGCTGACTTTTGAGTTTGGAAAAGGACGCATTGTGAACTGTACCCGCGCGAGCGAACGTTTGATGCCGCCGTCTATCGAGAGTTGTATGGCTTGGTCATTCATGCTAACGCTGGTGGGCACATCACCGTCCATCGTGATTGAATGGCGCTAATCAAATTTCAGAATCAATCACTTCCGATACGTCTCTTGCGCCGTTCGAAAGCGCAGAACTGTCCAAGATGATGGACATCGTGCGCATTCTTCAAGGTTTGCTCCCGTGTCCTTCTCATTTTGAACGTTTGTACTGTTCATTGCTTACTGTCCAGTGCAGATTCAGTTGGACAAGTCAACGATCCTGTCATGTGTGTAGTAGGTGAGCCGAAGGTCATTGGCGAGATCCTCGAGCTTACGCGGTCACCAGCTCGATTCATGTGTATATTCTGTGCGACCGTTCTCCTCTGTCCACGACATTCTCATACCTTACCTCCTCCAATTAACGCATTGACAATTTCCCGACCGTACACTCATAGCTCGAATCCACTTTTTGAACTTCCACGGCCAACCCTGTGCCCGCTTAGACGTCGACCACTCTATTTACTACCCACGCAACCATAGACTACGCACGTCCTTCCTCTTGCACTTGCTCTCCTTTCTCCTGTTTGGCGCGCCCTGGAGGTACGTCGAAACCCTGAGAGGCGTGTGGGTAGATGAGACAGTGAACCTACCGAGATGGAAAGCATTCGTGGCCCGTGTTATTGATGAATGGGGAGGATTTACGATTTACGTATGTGTTTCTCTCTCTCTTCAATCAAACCGAATAAACCGTGTGCTCAACTGCCAAACCCACAGTCCACTGTGATGTTAGCGGTCGATATATCTCTCCTTGGCATCGCCGATTCCGATTCGAAGACGTACCAGTCAGTAACTGTGATCGCGATATACGTGTCGGTGATTTGTACTGTTGGGTCGATCGTGGCGTCCGTGGTATTGACGGGTATGTGGAGAGATAAAGCGGAGAATGCGGAAGAGGTGGTGAGTTTTTCAGTTCGTCCTGTTATCATTTTGGCTGGACCTTTGGTCGATTGGATGCTGTTCCTCGAACCCTTTTTTTTGGCTCTCTTTGGGTTAATTCAGTGCTAATCGGTGGACGAGTGATAGGCAAAGTACATGAATGAAATAACGGACACAGTGATCGGTGTGGATCATATGGCTATCATGTTCAGTGTCCCATTTGGGTTATTGATATGGGGGTGCGTATTCACCTATCTGTATCTGTCCACTTCCGTTTCATTCCTTGTACTTTTTCTTGTTGGCGATTCTGACTAACAATTTGGCTGTAACGCGATAAAATAGCATGACGTCCTTCCTCGTTGCATTCCTCTACCTCATCTATAGTTCGACCTACCTTCCTACACTCGCAACGACGACGCCTGGAATCATCCTTGTCGCTGTGCTAGTAGCATGGCCAGTATGGGTGGCAGTGGAGAGGGGTCTGGGTGGGTGGATAATGAGGGCCGTTGATATTTGGAGGCAACAAGTCGTGAGAACGGGGTGGCACATAAAGGGGTGGGGTGAGCAGGGCGTACGAAGTTGGAGGGAAAGGGAGCGGAGTGCCATTGTGGAGATAAGGAGAGGCAATGTAGGGATGGCAGAGCCAGGGATTTTGGATACAGGAAGGAGGCAGGGCTCCGCGTCAGTATCTTCCGGAAGGGAGGGCAGAATGACGGTCTCGTTCGTGGAGACCGGGGAGGATGTGAAGGCTCGTGTAGGGATGGGCGCTGTGTTTGGGACTGGGGATGGAGTTCAGGACCTGCAGGCATCGGAAGATGTTTGTAAGCCTCAACTACTGGAGATGGGAAGAATGGTATGAGGATGCCTCGATGATCTTGATATCTTCACTTTCATTAGGATTGCTGTAGACAAAACCTACAAGTGTCCATGTGCTGTACGTAGTGGAAGTAGTGCAAGTGATGTGACCAGTTGTTGCAATGATGTCATGCCAATGGTCCCATTACATTCCTACAAGGAGCATTGGCTTTGTGGTCCTTGTGATGATATGAATCTTGATGGGCCAGTGTTGAGATGTAGCATGTTCTTTCTTGGTAGTAGATGTATGTGCCATTGTCTGCATTCCCTTGTCAAAGCATACACCTTCCCCTCCTCACTTTCATCTACTTCTACTTATATGATTGGACACAATGATCTGTATTAATGGTGAAAACACTTGTGCATATGCTTGGACAGAGAGATTTCAGGATGGCATCCTGCTGTATGGGTGTGCATGCAGGATAGTTAGTATTTCACAAAATTAACTAAGTGACCTTTGCATATGCAGTGCATGATAAAATTGTAAATCTTATCCTTCACATTCAAGTATTGGTTTCCTGGTGTAAAATTCAGAGGAATGGACCTATGATCTTCATTTTTCAAAAACAAAGTAGAGAAGTAAAAGGATATACATGGATGGAAAGTCAAGACCAATTCTCAACAGACTTGAAACATTGATGCCATTTGGTGCCATGTACCATTTGACTCAAATCTAATTCCACACAGCACCCAATGGGGATGACTGCTGTGTTCCATGCTGAGTAAAAGGGCACCCTGAGTGATGCAGGAATCCATAGCAGCAACCTTCCATTAGGGCCCTTCAACCAGCCATCATTGTGAAGTTGCAGAGGTTCATCCCTAACACTGGCATGTGCATCCTAGAGACCATCAAGCAGCTGCCCAGCATCATGCAATGCAAAAGAAGACATGGAGGAAAAACATATTGGGTATGTTGAGTGGTTTGAGTATAACTGAGATCCATAAGATATGGGAAATACTCACCATTTGCAGGGGAAGGCAAGAGACATACACTCTTTGGATTGTTTGGAGGTGGTTCAAATGATTCTTGGATACAAATCATTTCAACATAACTCTGAGTGTCCCAAACCTTCATGTTATGCTAAGACCAAAGTCAAGGCGTAAGGAGAGCTCAGCTGCAGACTGAGGGTTTCTACTGAGCAACAGCTGCAGTAACCTTTGTAAATGACAAAGGATTTGGTCAATGCTGGTAAGAGTGGTCCTGGTTAGGGACACTGAGGGTGAAGTTCTGAGTGAGAACACTGCATATGATTGAGCAGCTCAAGTCTGGGGTTCCAGGACTTGAGCCAGCAAGCTAAATACTACAAGGGGATAGACCATGAGGTGTCCACATGTAACAAGGTGACTACACTATTGGTTGAACAATAGTGACACATGTCCTAAGCATGTAACAAGAGGGAAACACTGGTGGTGGAAATAGTGAGCTTCAGATCAGAGAGAAGATGGCTTGAAAAAGAAAAGTAGTCCAATGGATCAAACACATGGTAAATGTACAGTGACAAGGGAAAAAGCAAGGTGAAACATAACATTACCCCCCTTCTAAGCATTGAAGTCCCTGACTTCAACTACTCTCCATAAGGCTCCCCAGTCATGTTACTGATGGCAGAGTTGTCAAAGTCAAAGTCATTGTCATACAAATTGTTATCCTCACTCCCAATGAGGGTATGATCATCCACCAAAGCAGGGGTAGCAATTCTTTCTTGTAACAGCCAATGAGGATGAAGAGATGGACATTGAGCTTGGGTATGTCCAGGATGGGTAGTGTGACAAAGGGGGCATTCATAGAGGCCACAGTTGACCCTAATGTGCCTGAGGCAGTGACAAACATAGCATGCTTGATGATAGCATGGATTAGACAGGGTAAGAGGGCAATCAGCCTCAGTAAGTGTGTTTAGCACAGGGAAAGGTGGTAACTTGGCAAGGATCTTGATCTGGCCTAGGATATACTCAAGTTTGGCTCTTGAGACACCAAAAGCAACCTCTGGGTTGACTATGGATGGTGAAGATGAGTCATGAGACTCACATGGTTAGGGGTTGGGGGTTGGGGTCAGACAGGCAGCAGGCATGAGGTCTGTCAGCTCTTTGGAGAGAGCAGGATGATTGGGAGGATGATGGTGATGATGCCAGAGGGGAGGATGACATGGGCAAAACTGGAGGAGAGGTTGTGGTCAGGGGTCTTCAAGACCTGGGAGGAGGGGGAGTGATCAGTGTGGGGTATTGGTGAACATTATAAATGAGGGCAGTACCTCCAAGGACATCAAAAAGTCTTAAGAGCAGGGGAACCTGCTTATACACAATCTCATGCAAGATGGTTCATGCAGGGGACAGGAGAGGGTTCTGTCAGTTGATGTAGTGGGACAGTTCCTCAAGCTGAAGGGCTTGGATAGTGGCATGATAAACCAAATCAAGAGGGGAATTTTTGTTGACTTTGTGATAGATGGTGCCAATGACAGTGGGGTCAGCAATGCAGAGGTGATAAGAAGTGACCATTTGATCACTAGTGGGCTGTCACTGTCAACAAGCAAAGGGGGTATGATGATGAGAGGGTTCATGAGGGTAGGTGTAATGATGAGGAGGCATTTCAAAAAGGATGGTTCTGACAGTATGAGGAGATCATTGAGTAGGTGGTTTCTGAGGGGGGAAGTCCCTTGGGAAGCATTTCTTATATGCAGAGAGCATATCATCTACATGTTCAAGGTGAGCTTCTTTCTGCCATGAGTTTTTGGAGGAAGGGTAACCCTTCCATTTTATTAAAAAGGCATGTCCATGGCCAGACCTTTTATGGCTGACTATTGCCTCAACTTCATATTCTTCCTCCTTGTTGACAAGGTCAGGTGGTGGAGCTGGAAAGTTTGGTCCATGGACATCATTTTTGTGATAGGGAGATAAGAGGGAGGCATAGAAGACATTGTGGATCTTCCATCATGCAGGGATCACAAGGCAATAGGTGATCAGAGATAGGACATCAGAGATGGTAAAGGGTTCTTCTCATTTTGGGGCAAGCTTTCTATTTTCATAGGAACATTTTAAGTTCCAGGCTTCCAGCCAAACCTTATCACCTTTTTGGAATGGGGTGAAGGGTCATGACAAGTGGTCTTTCATTACCTTTCTGGCCAGATCATGTACCACAAGGGCTTCTTCTCTGGCTTTTTGAAGTTCCTCAAGTCTAGACTCAGCAGTGGGAAGGTGGGTTTCCATGACAAGAGATGGAAGGGGTTTAAGTTCATAGCTGTACATGAGGTAGAATGGCGATTGATGGGTGACAGAGTGGGGGCAGTAATTATGTGCAAATTCTGCCATAGGGAGGTTATCCACCCACAGGGTGGGGTCATTCTGGCAAAAGATGCAGAGGTAAGTCTCAACCTCTTGATTAACACATTCAGTTTCTCCATTGGTCTGAGGGTGGTAGGCCATTGATAAGGCAAGGGAGTATCCCAGAAGGGAAGCAAGTTCTTTGGGAAATGTTGAGGTGAATTGGGGGCCTCTGTCAGATATGATTTTGTCATACAGCCTGAAATGGGAGTAGACCTTCTTGAAAAAGAGTGCTGTGATGTCAGCAGCAGAGGCAGTTTTCTTTGTTGGTGCTAAAATTACCCCCTTTGTAAGCCCATAGTCTACCATGACCAAGAGGGAATCATAACCCTTTGAAAGGGGGAGGTTGGTAACCAGATTGCAAGAGATCTGTTGGAAGGGGCAGGTCAAGGTCAAGGGGATGGGTGTAAGGGGAGGTGTCACTGGGTGGGTGTTTGCTTTATTTTGCTGGCATGTAGCACAGCCTTCTATGTATTTTCAGATGAAGGATGCAAGTCCTGGCCACCAAAACTCAGATGAAATGAGTTGTCAGGTCTTCAAAACACCAGGGTGTCCTGCAGAGGGATGATTGTGGTGGTTGGGCACAACAGTCTGTTGGAGGGTGGGGTTGTCAGGGATATACACCTGGTCTTTATAGAGTAGTACTCCATTGTCAAATTTCCAATCTGAGAGGTGGGATTTGAAAGGAAGCAGCATGTTGTTGTTTTTGATGGTGTGGAGTGCTGTCTGGACCACAGGGTCTGTAATTGAGGAAGATGAAACCTTCTGGGTAAGGTTTGTGTCAATGAGATTGACAAATGTAGTTTGCAGAAGGAGTGTAACCCCTTTTTTGTCTTCATCATTGTCAGGGAGGTGGTCAGGTCAGTGGGAGAGTGTGTTGGGAGCAGCCAGGTTTTTGCCTGGGACATGTTCAAGTTGCAGATAAAAGTCTGCAAGGTCAAGGAGCCAGCAGGCCTGGCAATGATTTAAGTTCTGGGGTGCTTTAAAGTAGGTCAAGTTCTTGTGGTCAGTGAAGACCTTGACTGGGAAGGGGGATCCATGAAGATAATGCCTCCAGGATTTTAATCCTTGAATGATCCCTAGTAACTCTCTGTTGTAGATGTCATAATTTCTTTCCATGGGGTTGAATGACTGGGAAATGAAGGCACAGGGTTGCCACTGGCCATTGGAATCTTCTTGAAGGAGAATGCCTCCAGTTGCATACTTGGATGTGTCAGTGGTAATCATGAATGGTTGAGAGGTATCAGGCATTCAGAGGGTCAGTTGTGCCATGAATATTCTTTTCAGGAGTTCAAAGGTGTTTTGGCATTTCTTTGACCACCCCAAAGCAGTTGTTTTCTTGGTGAGGTCAATTAGGGGTCTGGTGATATCTGAGTAGTAAGGGATGAATCTTCTGTAGAAGTTTGCAAACCCTAAGAAGGACCATACATCCTTGACCTTCTTTGGGACAAGCCATTCAGCAATGCCTTGGACCTTGACAGGGTCCATGGCAATGGTGTTTTCTTTGATGATCATTCCAAGGTATTCCATATCAGTTAGATCAAAATGACATTTTTCCAGTTTGAGGGGAAGGGACAACTCCCTCATACATTTGAGAACATGATGAGTTCTCTGTTTATGTTCTTCAGGGTCAGTGGAGAAAATGAGGAGGTCATCCATGTAGATGACCAACCATCCTTCAGCAATCATGTCTTGGAAAGAGTTGTTCATGAATCGCTGGAAGGTGGCAGGAGAGTTGCACAGTGCAAAGAACATAATGGTTGGTTTGAAAAGTCCTTTGTGCATGATGAATGCAGCTTTCCATTGGTCTCCTTCCTTGATACAGATGTTGTTGTAGCCTGATCTCACATCCATCTTTGTGAAGATAGATGCTCCCTTGAGTTTGTCAACAAGATCTGAGATGAGGGGAAGGGGGTACATATCCTTCAGTGTTTTTATTCAGATATTGATAGTCCTGGAAAGGATGAAGGGAGCCATCTTTCTTTCCTATGAAAAGAAGGGTGCTGCTTGAGGAGAC